GAAATTTAAACTAATTTGTTTTGACCTGATTCAGCTAAAGTTTAAATGTGGACAGCAATGAAAACTTAACAAAAATTATGTTTACTTCTAGGGCTTTTGGTTTTAGTATTTTAATATCCATTATCACTAAACTCATAAATTCGAAAGAAACTCTATGTTTGAATTGAAAATTCTTCTTGGAAAGTAGTTAAAGTGGTAAAAACCTATGGAAAACATGAAACGGAAATGCGTTACAAGCGTCACACGACTATCTTAATATATCGCTCCTTCAATGCAAAAGGGCCACAATCCAAAAAATCTCAAAACTCGTTTTATTGTAAAAATGTGATCTAAATGCATGATATTTTAGAGTGTCATTAAAACACTCGCCATTTTAGCTTTAATAACTACCAAATCACAAAAGCGTCCGTTTTGCATTCAAGCGTTTTGATGACTAACTTCAGTGCAAAGCGGCCATTTTTTTAGTTCCGACCCAATTCCCAGCGTGAACGCACGTCGGTTTAGTGCAAAAGGGCCACAATCCAAAAAATTACCTTAAACAATTAAAGGCTTTAGATCAAAAGTGCCTTTTTTTGAAAAGTGACTGTTTTGCATTAAAATTTTATGAAGTTATAATTAATGTTATTAGATCAAAAGTACCATTTTTTTTAAAAGTGGCTGTTTTGCATTAAAATTTAAGTAAGTTATTAAAGATTACAATAATAAAAACTGCAGTATTTCAAAAAGCGTCCTTCTTCGTATTGAATAATGCATTATAATCTTATAATAATTTTATTGCTAGGGTATTTTTTAGAAATGATTGTTTTAAAATAAAAAAAATGAGATTGTAACGTTATTTTTAAATATTTTGTGTTTGAGTGCCTCGAGTTATTGTAAATCTGTCGTTAATATTCGTACTTTTAAGCTAGGTACCTCTTTATTAAGAAATCAAAGGCCTGTGCAAACTTTACTATAGTGTTTGAGTTTAGGCACATTTTATAGATAGATTGATAATTGTGAGCCATAGAGCAAAACGGGCGCGTCGGATTGTGTCTATATTGTTCTATGTGGTGGGTTAGTAAGAACGAGATTAAAAATTATAACACAAACGCGATAGTACCTAATGTTTGCATATTTTCAAACTTACATCGGAGGTATATAATGATGTAGTCTGATGTTTATTTATTTAAGTCATTCTCATTTATGGTTTCTAATTATTTTACGAATATGGAATAAACCAGTGCATATACGATTATTATAATATCATCTTATGTATCTATGATAGGCTTTTTTATATATATTTATGGTTGGGATTTCCCTATTCCATCCATAGGGAAGGTTTGTGCCCCAGCAGTTGGGACATTAATAGGCTCATGATGATGATGGTTGGGATTTACAATAATAATAAAATAAAAAATAAAGGCATTGTTGATTATGTGTATGCATTGCATATGTTTTGCTTATATTTTGTTAATCCAAACCAAGAATCAAATTTTAATAATCCAGTCTACCGTCCGCAATAGCCTAGAGGAACAGCAGATTATATCAGCAGATGCTCAACAACACATATTATCTTATTGCAGTTTTGATACAAATTTCTTACCAGACAGTCAATATAACATAAATTTCTCATTACTTGATGATGAAGATGACGATATGCAATCTGTAATAGAATAGCCAAATAATGATATCCCTTTAAAAGTCGTTGAACAGAGCGACTTATTTAGCGCACACCAGATGATTTTTCTTCCGATGAAAGCCCGACTTTTCAGCCTTACCATCAACGCAATACTGGAAGTTTTTCTATAGATCTAGAACACAGGATATTCGCAAAAAAAAACGTCATTTTGCTCCAGCCTGGGTGTTCTAGTATTAAGTCGCAATAGTTTACTTAAAGTACCTCAAAAAAAGAGAGAAGGTTTACTGAAACTTAAAGAGAGGAATATAATTCCAAAATAATATAGAGGAATATAATTCTTCACTTCAGGGTGTTTTGCACGAGTTATTTACTTATTTTTTTTAATGATTATTACTTGCTTTAATATTTAACTTAAATAAATCTCATTCAATAAAGTAAAAATATTTTTTAGAAACCTTTAATTTTGATATGGTTGTATAGTATAGACATTTTTTTTATTAAAAGACTGTTATTTTAGCTTCAGTAATAAAAGTTTAAAGAACTTTCTTTCAAAAGAATATAAAATTTGTGTTTTTTTAAGACAGATAACATTTTGTGCATAACCTGATCGATATAATGTGTTATTCTGATTATAATTGAGAAAGTTATTATTTTTACTTTTATGAAAAATAACAAGAAAGTATTATTTGATAAAAAAGCGTATTAATTTTTGCATTTTTTTTAGGATTTCTGGTCAGATTTTTAATGCAAAAGGGCCTCTTGTGCAATTTTCTCACTATATATCATAGTTAATATAAATTGTTTAATACTCATAAATGCAGTATAAAAATACGATTCTAATGATGTATAACATTTATATACTATCGCAAAATAGAATACAAAAATTACCAAAAAACGTTTTCAAAATTTTGTTTTGGCCGTCCTGTAAAAACTCATTTTTTGAATTGTGGCCCTTTTGCATTGAAGGAGCGATATATAAATCTCGTGTCACAATGTTTGTCCTCAATGGACTCCTAAACCACTGAACCGATTATAATAAAATTCGCACGCCATGTGCAGTTCGATCCAACTTGAGAGATAGGATAGTTTAAATCTCAAATTATAGTCGCAATTTTAATTTATTGCAAATTATTACTTTTGGGCGGTACGACGTTCGCCGAGTCAGCTAGTATATATATATATATTTATATATGTGTGTGTGAGTGTGTGTGTGGGATGCGTGAATAGCTTATTCCGACGAGCATGAAAGTCGGAAGGTAACTCGACGAAGGCTTAATCGCTACGAGCGTCACACGCGACAATGTATATGTTACCGGCCAAACCCGATTTCAGGACAAACTAGTTTTGCCTAGGCTAAACTAGTTCTTCCTATACGCGGTAGGATTAATTAGTATAGCCTAGTCCAAACTGATTTGTCCTAAGCCCGATAGGATAAACCAGTTTAGCCTAGGCCAAACTAGTTGATCCTGATATAAATACGTACACTCTAGGATAAACTAGTACAGCCTAGTCTAAACAAATTTAGCAGAGTCGAAAGTAATTGAACAAATATGTCAGGACTTGTACAGGTTGCGTCATGTAAAAAGAACGCTGGAAGAAAGTGGAGGGAGTGTGTATAGATGCAGCTGCAACAAAAACTGTTCCACAAACAGTTGCCAATGATGGCACTGATACTCTGCAATTCAAGAAGGCAAGAAGACAATGATACTCTGCAATTCTAAGTGGCACCAAAGCACACCTTGTAAAAATAAATAACAATTTTAATAATTGAGATATTATTATTGCTTCTATTAAAAAAAACACATATTATTTGTTATAGTATGATTGTTTTTATTACTAATTATCCAAAACTTTTAACGATGAATCATTATCGTTTTAATAAAAAATATTATTTTTCCAATTACGGAGTATTTTATTCACTTTATCTATTTATTTTGACTTTCTAGATATACTATAATGATTAGACTAGGCCATACTAGTTTATCCTAGAGTATGCGTATTTATATCAAGATCAACTACTTTGGCCTAGGCTAAACTGGTTTAACCTATCGGGCTTAGGACAAATTAGTTTGGACTAGGCTATACTAGTTAATCCTATCGCGTATAGGAAGACCTAGTTTAGCCTAGGCAAAACTAGTTTGTCCTGAAATCGGGTTTGGCCGGTAACATATATATATATATTTAAATGAATGATGCGTACACTGTTCCATTCCCCTATGCCTTATGCATCGCCTAATGATACATTATTTAAGAAAAGAAGTTTCACTTCAGATGTGTGGCCCGTGCACACTAATTTTATTTCACGTACAAAATGCTGTATCGATTGGATATAAATGGATACTACTACTACTCAATAAATGATTATTTTTATCATTATTTAAACTATATTCTTAAGTCATGACACATAATGTTACTAAATTAGTAAACGGCTACTAAACGGCCTTAATTACATCTGAATATATGAAGAACAAAAAAAGCGCTGGATGACGCAGGGGGTTAGCGCGTTTAGCCTGCGATCGTGTAAGTTAAGCAACTTTCGCAATGGTCGGTCATTGGATTGGTGACCAAAAACTTATTATCTCGAGCTACTCCGTGTTTCAGAAGGCACATTATGCCGTTGGTCCAGTCTTTAGCACCCATCTATCCATGCTGTGGCTCACGGCCCAATCTCCCTAATGGAAGGCCTGTGCCCCAACACTGGGGACATTAATAGGCTGATGATGAAAAAAGAACAATATTGGCGCCCAACGTGTTGCCGCTAAATCATTAACTACTTACAAGCAATGTTGTACCAAGTTCATTATTTATATTATTATAAGCATTAAAGAAGCAGTGTAGAAGCTCGATGGCGCAAATGGTTAGCGCGTTCGGCTGCGATCGTTGAACTTTCGCAGTGGTCGGTCATTGGATGGGTGACCGAAAATTACTATCTCGAGTTCCTCCGTGCTTCGGAAGGCACGTTAAGCCGTTGGTCCCGGCTGCATCTGCAGTCGTTAGCACCCACCAATTCGCACTGGGCCCGCGTGGTGGGTTATGGCCCAATCTCCCTATTCCATTCATAGGGAAGGCCTGTGCCCCAGCAGTGGGGGACATTAATAGGTTGATGATGATATCTAGAGTCGTCAGCACTCACAAATCCGTATTGGGCTCGTGGAGTAAAACATATCACGTGTTCTCTATTCTGTCCATAGAGAAGACCTGTACTCCCGGATGCCAGCAGTGGGGACATTAATAGGCTGATGATGATGAACAACATACAAAAACTAGAAAACAAAACATAGAAATAGGACTCGTTCTACTCAGACCAGGTGTCATTTTCCAGTTAATTATTGTTTATATTTATGAATCATATTACCTACCATTCCTTCTATTTATATCTCACCTGCGTATAGGTCATCCAGCAGCAAGGCTCCACCTGGTTAGCGTCCAGCCCCCAGAACTCCAGCTCCTCTTCGAACAGCGGCCCGCAGACGTCTGTGGGGTAGTGGAGCTTGCCGGTCCTGATAACGAAAAAGATACGTGATTATCTGATGTCTGTCAAGTTGCTTTTAGCATAATTAGTAGGGAAGACTAGGAGGAGTAGGAATTTGAGCACCCGCCTGGGACAGTAACCCACACCTTACAGAAGACCACAGTAAAATAACACCCATTGGTGGTGTTGTGTTTCTGACGGTAAATAATGTTCCAGGGCTCCACGGGGTAAGGGATTAGGTCAGGGTAGGCAACGGGGCGAGTGATATTTTTGATATCGCAGGCGTCTATAGCAGTGTTTCCTAACCTTTACAATACTGCTTCCCCCCTTTTTTTTTTGTAACGCAGGTAAAAAATCTTTTTACAGACGACGGCGCCTTTAAGAGGTACACCGCCAAACGGACCTCACACCTGGCTCCCGCAAGTCTTACGGACCCCCCAGTGGCTACCCACCGAGAACTCCGAAACTCTTACGGGCGCTTTACAGCATAATATCCGCTAAAAAAGTCCTGCGAATACCTTCTACACTGCTTAGTGCGGAGCCGCAGGGTCCCCGTTAGGGATTCTACCACGGCTCCGCCCCCAGCAGCTTCTCGGCCTCGCCGGGGCTCCACGGCAGGGGTCTCCCGCAGTATTACGGGGACCCCGCAGACGTGTGCAGGTAGGCCCGCGCGAGGGGGCTGGGTACTCGGCCTACTGCCCACCGTACCGCCCCCAATACTGCTTCCCCTGTAACCTATTAGGGAAACAGATTTTACCCCGACTTTAAAATGGTATCATCAGCCCAAGAAATTCCAATTTGGCCGCTACATCTTCGTCTCTAATAATGTCATCATCAGGAGAGAATCTCGCCCCGCTTCCCACACTCAGCACCGCGGGTTCACTAGCAAGAAGGAGCGCATGCTCTATTTGGTAGTATTATTTAGATTTGATCAAATAATTAGGTTCTTTATTATTCCCGAAGTATGGCTGATTTATCCCCGGAGGGATAATTACCCCCAGGTTCGGAGCCCAAGGTCCATAGAACAGAGGTGCGAGGAGGGCGTGCGTTGCGCCTATTGGCTCTGCAGTCGTACCCATACGCATCTATCCCCTCTGCGTTCTGTTCAGCGCTAGAGTGACATGCCGCGACCTATACCATCAGGCGGGCTATATGCTTGGTTGTGACAGATCACGGTCACGTGTCGGCTGTTTTTGTCCCGCCAAAATAATACCAGGTCACAGGATTATTCTGCGGCGGTACGGGTTTCCAGGCTGAATGACATTTGCTTCTCTCTCCCCTTGATGAAGGACCCCGATTAAGATATGGTTCCCCCGTGTATTGGGGGTGGGGGGCGAAAGGAATTTCACTGTCAACTAATTCCTCACCAAAAAAACACAACTTCGACTCGCCACCAATAAACAAATAAATCAAAATGACGACATCTTCAAGACATTCTGTCCAATTCTCCTATTCGAGAATAATGTGCAACAGAGGCAGAATGTCTTGCGTCCTCGATTTCGATTTATTAGTAGTAAGTAAGTAAGTAACACCCTTCCTTAAATAAATACAATTTAGTGAAGTTCAGTATATATATTTAATTTCTTCACCAACGAACCTGAATATGAAGACGTAAACGTAAGTATCAATATGATTTTGCAAAGAAAAGAGCGAATTGGAATCTCCATTACCTACACAGTGACGCGGCGCTCCATTAGCTTAAAAACGTCCACATTCCGTAGAATGATGGCGATCAACCAGATTGCGTCAGTTTATTAACCTAAATGTCGTCACATTCTCGCACGAATAACAATAAAGAGAAAAATCAAGCCCCAACAAAGAGTAAACAACGGAATACGGGAACAAACATATTTACTATTATTATGATGGAATGGGCGAAGTTCCATGCGTGGGAACGGCATTAGTGAATCGATATCGGTCAGATCAGGGACATTAATCAACCAGCAAAGGGTCGTTATAGTTAGCTACTTTACTGATAAGCGCTAGCGTTTTTAACTTGCGACGAACGAGCCAATGGGCGAGATTTTTGTACGAAGAATGGCAAACAAACATACGCTACTGTAACGTCCGTTACGTTACAGCCTCTTTATTTGGGTAATGCCTACGGCTGGCATTTATATAAAAAAAGTAATGTCATGATTTTTGAAGATTTGAAATTGGGAATCTTCTGTCGTTTGATAGAAGATTCCAGCAGATAGAAATCAGGCACCACAACATACGGTTACATATTAAGATACAATTATTATATTCGCCTTGATTTCAAATAAAATAACATATAAAATCTAATTAGTTTTCATTTATAAAGTTACGCTTCCAGGGCCTATCCCTTCAGGAGGCGCCTCCACCATGCGGCCATCCTGAAAAATTATGACATTACCTTTTTAATATAACTGCCAGCCGTAGGCATTACCCAAGCAAGGAGGCTGTATAGACGTTTATGATACCAAAACTATCACGCACGCCGTTGCCTTCCTTGACCCAATCCCCTACCCCGTCGAGCCCTGGAACCTTATTCACCGACAGAAACACAACACCTCCAAAAGGTAATGTTATTTTACTGTGCTCTTGTGTAAGGTGGAGATTACTTTCTCAGACGGGCACTCCAATTGCTGTGGAAAATCCGCTATGCCCTACTTCTTTTGAACATAATAATTATAACGCGTAAAATGCTTATTTACTCATATATTACATACTCACACAGAGAACTGCTTATTTGTAATGGAAAAAATACATATATAATATTATATTGATTCAAAATAATCAGGTTTTCAATAATAAATAGAATTGTTCTTCACCACAAAAAATAATTGAGTGATAGAGAAAAAGTAGTATTATGAATCCATTTTAATTATAGAATAATTTAGTGATTCCATCCAGAAGTATTTTTGATTGTTTTTACTTTGCCAGGTTTTTGTTTTTAGCGCATAGGCTCGACCATTGCGCAAATGTCCGAAATTACAATAACATGCAATGCATCACGTCAGGGCCGGATCTACCATATGGCTGGGCTTCAGCCCAGAGCCCCGTGGATTCAAGGGCCCCCCAGCTAAGTCAAGTCAAAGCAAAAAATAGACGATAATGCGAAAGAATCGATACTTCTATTAAAGTAAACAGATCGGAAATTCAGACAGGCAAATATCGCTAAATTTCCATAGCAGATATAATAAATCCAAAATAGACGTCTAAAGCTGAACTAGTGATTCACTAAAGAAAGAAAATTAAAATTATTTTCTTTAAAGCAGTAGATTCAATAATTAGAAGTACATTCAATGTAGAAAAAATACATTGTTGAATGTAACCCCATTTATATTACCCCTAGAATGTGAGGAGCAGATTAAAGAATTTGCCATGTCTGCACTTTGCAGAAAGGTTGTTTTGTAATTTGTCAATTTATTAACAGTAGTATAATACTAAGGCATAATATAATATAAATTAAATATTTTACTGTCTCATTTTTTTCTATACTTTGAGTAATTAGGGAGGGGGACCTAAATAGTATTAGCCCAGGGCCCCCTTAACTCACGGTCCGGCTCTGCATCACGTACAATTCTTAAGATTCGAAAATTTGCGAGAGCTAACGAGAAACCCGCAACTGCACGTTGGATGCGTACAATAGCTTAAAGTGCTTCCGTAAACACATTCAAGGATATGGAATGTTTTGAATTACCTACATCAAGTTGTAATTTCTAAAGTAACACAGACACTGCTTTCCGCTCCGCTCTCTACGCTGTTATAAGCTTTAACTACAGCTTGGAACGGAAACTTTAGCTATTTGTCTGTATAAATGCTAATTAGTCAATTCTGAAGTTTGGCTACAATATACATAAACGTTATAAATGGCTATTAGTATGTACTAGCAAACCAGTGAACCAAAGGTTCACCAAAACCTGATTTAAAAAAAAATGGGTGCGTGTACTTATGTAGGCGCGTGAGAAGTTATCCTTCTTTGGCATCGTTTAAAATTAGTTTTTAATTGCATGCAAATAATTAATTACAATAAATTAATAAAAAGTCTGGAAAAGTAACACAGTCAATAAAGTTCAGTTTTAATTTGAAAAAATATTCAATTAAAATCGCTACTGAATATAATTTATTAGAACATATGTGATTTGCACTTGTATGAAACTCAAACACGTATTCCGAATATACAAACTAGAAACATGTCGATAAATATTATAAATATGAATACCTATAACTGTTACTTTATTACAAAAAATAAAGATGTGGTTTTTGGTTCTACTACACCAATGGTCAAGAGATGGCGCTGTAGTCTCCTGAATCGCGCTTTGGTTCCGTTGTTCCAGATTAATAAATACTTTTGATATTATAAATATGAATACCTATAACTGTTACTTTATTACAAAAAATAAAGATGTGGTTTTTGGTTCTACTACACCAATGGTCAAGAGATGGCGCTGTAGTCTCCTGAATCGCGCTTTGGTTCCGTTGTTCCAGATTAATAAATACTTTTGATAGGCCTTCACAATGCAGTCGTTAGCACCCACTAAATAGAGATTCTATTTCTATTTTGTTGGTAGATTTTCTTAATGTGCGGTAAACACAAAAGTAACAGCATGAAGTTGGTCGCTAAAGCGACCAACTTCATGCTGTTAATTTTTTGTGTTACATTGATGCGCGCGCATCTTAAAATTTCACTCTCATCATTTTTTCATAACGCGCCTAAAGAAGTATAAATTCAAAAAATGTATTTACTTAATTGAGAACTTCGGAGATTTTGTGTGGTTTCGTTTGAAATTCGTGATTTCTCGAAAACCGGAAGTGCTACGTTACTCAAATCCGGTTTGTAGTCTTATCAGACTATTCTTAACGTATAACTTAAATATTATCTTTATCTATCTCTTACGGTTTGGCCGCTGCAACAGCACCACAGACGGACGGACGGACGGACTTGTCTAATAGATAAGAGATAGTAGAATCTTATTTTATGCAGGCGACAACCACTGGACGACCAGGCGCGGCGAGGGCTTCCACCCTTATGTTGTCGAAGGTCCTCCCATTCGCACGAAG